CTTTCTAAGATCCTCACTGATATATGTACATACAGTGGCGGTCAAAAATGGATGAATGGTGTTTTGTTTTTAATATTGTTTTTGAAGCTAAATTTTTTTTGATACTTTTTTATAAAAATGTGCTTCATGCTTTAACAAAAACCATATAAACCAAACTTTCAACTGTATACAGAATTTAGAAAAAATCTGCAAATTTTTATCTAAATTTCGAGCTTTTTAACCAGGTTTTTTTTTTTTAATTTTTTTTGGGTATGTAGTTAACAAGATTATAAAATTTTAGTAAAACTAGTGCAAGTTTTGAGCGGCTAAAAAACCGCATTGATTTTTAATATTTTTTTTTGCTAACGGCTTTTTCGATTTTTTTCATATAAAAAGCGAAATTTATGAAAACTGGCGTTGACTTTTTTTATTTTTTCGCAAAGGTCTTACGCTTATTCTTCCACAAAAAATACATGCCTATATATGGAAAAATGTTTAGAACGCCTTGAACAAAAAAAAAATTATGAAAAATCAATGCGGTTTTTTGCCGCTCAATTAGCAATAATTTTACTAAAATTCTATAGTCCTGTTAACTGCATACCCAAAAAATGTTAAAAAATTTCGGTTAAAAAGCTCCAAAATTTTTTCTCTAAATTGTGTATAAAGTTTTAAAGTGTGATTTATATAATTTTTGGTAAAGCATGAACCATCTTTTTTATAAAAAAATATCAAAAAAATTATAGCTTGAAAAACATTGTAAATATTAAATACGAAACGCCATTCATTCACTTTTGACCGGTACTGTGTGCAGATCAGTGATGCTCAGAGTTGTGTACCCGCGGGCGCTGTTTTGAGCATCACTGACATATATAGACCGGTTACGACCAGCGTTCGGACTTTCCTACGAAACTTTTATACAGTTTAAAGAGAGAATTCTTGACGCTATTTCCGTTTAAAGCTTAGAACCTAGCTCTCAAAAAAAAAAATCACAAGACTGTTGCTTGAAAAGGCACATTGGCATTGCTGTAAATTTTCTTTAAGAAATATATATACATAAATATACGTGCATTTTTTTTAAGATCTGCAAACTGATTTAAGAAATTTTGATAGAAGGAAATTTCTCTTTCATTTCTTGTGCGTAATTTTTTATGAAGTTTTCATTTTTCTTGAGAGCTGGAAACAGACCTTAAAGAGATCAGTAGTAAAATTTTCTTTTCACTTATTCATAAAATTTTTAACATCCTCTTAACACTGTGATTTTTCCATAATAACATTATTTTAATTAGGTTGTACAAATAGATTTTTGTTTAGATAAAAATGAAGGAAAGATTTCATTTCTCACAAACTCAAACAATTTTTTTTTCAGTTTATTTGATTTTACAATTTTTTCTTAATTTTTATCTAAAAAATCTTATTTTTAAAACTTATTTATTTTGAACAAAAAAAACACAACTGTATCATACAACTTTTTAATAAACAAAATCCACTTACCCGATTTGAATTCGTTACATTGACGATTTATTGATGATGTGACCGCTGAGATTTAATGAAGGCCAAATTTGTTGTTAGAGTACCTGAAAAGAATTAAAAAAAATTATGAAATTAAGTACACATTTTGATAATCTAGAGAATATTTTATATGCCGGCAAATAAACCCAATTTTTTCGCCTTTTATTGTTTAAGGCAAAACCTTAGTTGATATAAATAGTGTGAGTATTAAAGTCTCAAGTAATTCAAAAAGTATCGAAAAACTTACAAAGAACTGAAAATAATCCAAAGCGTCCTGAAAAAAACTCGCATTAAAAATCGAAGCCATCAAATGCCACGAAATTTGCGAATGCTGCTTAAAATTACATAAGAATCTGAAAACCCTCGAAAAGTATACGAAGAATCACGAAATGCCTAAAAAATTCAAGTTGCGTTTATTTTCCGCAAAAAAGATATCAAAACGTATTTTAAAATGCATGAAATAGTGGTCTACAATGAGAGAGGATCCTCATCGTACCTAAAAATAAGCGATATTGTCTTGGCGCTTTATTACTTACACAACATATTTATGGCTTTTCAATTCGAAATCTAAAACTTACTCCCATTTACAATGTGTGAATAATAAAATAGACGAGGTTACAAAGCACAGTAATATCCACTGTACAAAAGTAGCAATTGACTGGCGCTTAATTAGCATAAGAATTGACACTTTGATTTTTTTATGTAGATACAAATATTATATACATAGATACATATATATATGAATATACATTTTTTTGGAGCGCAGGTGTTGAAAAACATTAAATAGCGACAATGCCTACGTACGACTGAATGGAGGGTATTTCCAGTTGGTTTTAGGTTGTTCATTACAATCGTTTATTTTATTTATTCATGGATATACTTGTAGGTAATAGTTGTACCTAATTGAATTTATGCCTATTAGTTTATGTATGACAGCAGGGTACGAAGTATGTATATAAATGTAAGGCAATGCTTTTTTGCGAAATAGTCCTATGCGCTTATCTGATTTGAATGCTAATTAAAACTAAATTACAAAATTAAAAGTTCAGGCGATAAATCTAGCACGTGTGTAATGATTGAACACAGGCAAGTGTCATAATATTTATTCGATTTGATTTTAGGCAATGCTTCTGTTTATAGAAAAAGTGTATTTCATTAAGTCTTCAAAAAAGAAAAAAAACAATCGCAATGAAAAGATATAATGAAAAGAGTAAAAGGTATTTTTGCGAGGCAAAAAATTTAAAGTTTTTTTTAGGTCGAAGGTAGGGGTCTCCTTTTAGCATTTTTGAGTTGCACTGCGATAATCAAAAAACTGCCATATCAAAAGCTGAACGAATTTTTGGCGAGCTTAATTTACTGACATTATGATGGTACGAGTAAGTTGGGGTGAAAGACACAGAGTTATGGTAGGTAAGTACTGGAACAGGAACTTAAGGTCGATGAACTTTGGAATAAAAAAATTACCTCTCCGAGGCAAGAACATCGATATATCTTACTTTTAGATATGACGAAAGATATAAAAAGGCGGCAGGCCAAAAAAAAAATATTGCTCGAGATTGCCTTGCAAAAATACTTTAGACTCAGGGGTTTTCCGGTCTACACGGTACGGTCTATACATACATATGTATGTGTATTAAAATTTTATATATGTATACACATTTGGCTTATTTTACTTATTTGTCGCGTATCTAAAATCACTGTTTCGGGTATTCCCATGTGCTAATCTACTAAATAAATACAATTGTTTGTGCTTCACTTAACATTCAAAGTATGCCTGTACTGGCCTCACTTCGAGCATTTTTATAATTTTTTATATTCAATGGATTACTATTTGTACTGTACATTACATTACGGATGTTAATTTTTCAGCTTTTTCCGATTGCTGGGATATTCGGTATGTCGTGATCCCGGGACTAGGCCCGGGATTTAGATATTCATTACTTTTCAAAAACTTAAATAAATAATAAATAAATGGGTTTGAAACCTACTTTTTTATTTAAAGTGAAGTTTTTATTTTTTCTCTCTGACGTCAGGATTTATTTTAAAGGACTTTGTTATGTTATAAAGATATGATTAATTTCAAAGATTATTTAAAATATTCAAAGCAATGTAGAATAAAAATATGGGTATCAAATGCAAAAGGAAATTTCTTTTGGAATTAAAAAAAATTAAAATTTTTTGTATTCACAACGAAGAATAAGTAATTTTTTAAACTGATAAGGATACAAGGACGAAGTTATATAAGTCCTTAACATATAAGGACTTTAAAAGGACATTTTCAATACCTTATGCACAAAAAATTGAATCTGTTTAAATTCTACAGAATTTCCTCTTCAATTAGATACACATACTTCTTCTCTAAGCATATTTCTCTGAATTTTTTAAATCATTTTGATCCTTACTGACGTCGGAGTGAAACACTAAAAACGCAATTTTACTATATTTGGCCCATGATTTCGCGAATATAGTGATATTTGTGTTTAAAATTTACTATCGCGCGGTGTTATATGTATAATGGGCTAGAAATTTATAAAAAAATATTGATTATTAAATAAAAAGGAAATATAGCCAATACTGGTTAACAAAAGGAGTTTCTATTATTGCTGTCAGTGCAAATTAGAAATCCCGAAAATCCCGGGATTGTTTGCCAAGATTTTTGGGACCTTAAAAAGGCCGGGATCCCGGGATTAACATTCCTAGTTTACATACATACATATGTATGTATCTGAATTCTACTCAAGTAAAATTTTGCTTGAACGAATTAAATTGCTCTTCACGTTGTACTAGGTCAACATGTAAACAGAATACACTAATATTTTTGCAAATGTAAATAAAGAAGACATGCTGAAATTAGCTGAATAGATAAAATGGAAAAAGTTTAAATTAATATGAGTTATGAAAAAATATTGCCCATCTAGTAGTTCGGCTCAGTCAAGGGGTAAATTGTGGAAATTTTTGTAGAAAATTACAATCAAACAAAAAAGTTCGCTGTAAAAATGCCTCCTCGAGGCATGAACTTTAAGATCCGAGTGTAAATTCTGACGAATGTGACGAAAAAATGTAAGAAGGCCCAAACAAATTTCGAAATCGTCTTGAAAAATACTTTAGACTCAGGGGTGTATCGCGTTTTTTTTTATGGTAAAGTCTAATTGTACATCCATACATCTTCATATACTTGATTAAAAATACTTACAAAAAAATATTCCGACGAATTGATAACCTTCTCCTTTTTGTGAAGTCGGTTAATAATTGAATACTCGTCTTGATATGCAATATGTATTTATTATTTGTAAGTTTTTTTTTAATAATGTACAAACATTTTGCGAGCCATTTGCAGATTAAAGTGTAGTGTTTTATGAGGAGATGTGTGTATGGATATGTGTTCATATATTTTTTATGTACATATTGAAGTTGAGTGTTTTCCGTTTTTATCTCAGCGGATATGTCGGCATTGTTTTTTATTGGAAATGAGTTCCTTTTTTAAATTTTATGTTTTTTATTTTCCTTTGCAGAAAAACGACTTCTATTGTTATGTGATATTCATGATGAATAAAAAGACATCAATGCAACTGCGACAGGAGCAACGCGAATGGTTGCAGGTAATTGAAGAATTTTAGGGTATCTAGTATAATTCAAAATAATTGTTGGTAGTTCTAGAACTACATACGAAGATATCTTATTTGATTTACAATTGCAACTCACATTGGAGAATTAGACGGAATCCCTAGCTTCACAACCCTTCCGGTATCTGAATGATACACTTAGTTAAAGACGCGGCATTTAAAGTTTTATGCTTGTGCATGAAAGTGCATTAAAATGTGAAAGCTCGAAAAGCTTGTTCTGAAAAAGGGAACTGGAACTTTGCGCGTGAAAGCTCTATTCTTAATGATAATAAAGTTAATCTAAAGGCTTGCGAGCTTTCGCCTACAAAATTGCATTATAAATAAATCAATTAGTGCGTGAAAGCTCGCAGATTTCATACAATTTTGGGATATCCTAATGGCCCCTTCTCATGGGCCTACTTCAGTCGATATAACAGTACAAAAGTGAAAAATAGAGCTTACCACCACTTAGTTAGTATAGCAGTGTATTATCTAGCCCTAGTATATAAAAATTTAAAATTTGTCAAATAATTAAATCCTCCAAAATTGTTCTTACTTTTTGTCTTTTTTAGAATGTCCAAAATCAAATTAACGACAAATTGGGCATTGACAGCTTTCTTGTGCAGCCCGTGCAAAGACTGACCAGATATCCGTTGTTATTGCAGCAATTTATATCTGTAAGTACTTCCCAAAAATATATTAATTCTTTTCAAACTATGGTCACTAAATATTTAAATCATCTTTTTCTCTCTTTCTCCAACAGGAATTCTACAAAAGCGGCATTAGCTGCAAGCCAGTACTGGCGTCTGTGTGCAAGTTGGAGACACGCATGCGACGCCTACTCGAAGTGGTCAATCAGGCTGAAGAAGTGGCAGCCATAGACGAGCTAGCAGAGGTGAGTTGAATTAATTTACAAAATAAAAAATAAAATATCTAATCCCTTCCTAACTAATTCCTACGCATCCACAGCTCAACCTACCCGCGCAGGGCTACTTCCGTCGCGCCACCGAATTTGAGGCGTATCATCATCGTTCGCGCAAGAAATACACCGCCAAGGTGTTCCTCTTCGATCGCTGCCTCATCTGCACAGAGGTGCGCAAGCGACGACTTGCCTATCGTCATCATTACGCTTGGCCAACGCTGGAGCTGCAATTGAATGGTAGTAAGAGCATAACGGTGTTACTGCGCGGTAGCGGTGCAGCGAGTGCGGCTAGCGGTGCCAAGGAAGAGTACGAATTCACAGCGCAGGAAGCGAGCGCGGTGACGCAGTGGATACGCTGCGCGCGAAAAATTATTGAAATCGAACGTGTGGAGGCGGCGATGCGGGGAAAATTCTCACTGCCAATGGATTTGGTGCTCGGTGTGGGAATGGCGATATGGTTGATATGGAATTATTTACCTTAGTTTGCAAAGCTGCGGCTTTATAGATGTATAGTACATAAATTTAGGTACTTTTTCGAAAAATAATGGGGGACTAATAACTCGATTGTTCGAGGGATTTTAAAGATTTAAATTTAATTACATGAAAAGTTGTTTAAGATTACACGAAGAACAAAAAGAAATATACTTAAGTTATTTTTGAAGACATTAAGATACGTATGTGTATACATATTTTTTGATAAAAGCTCTTATTTGCTATAATTAACAGCTACTTTTTGTCGGAAGTTAGTCGCTAACAGACAGTCAGCAAAACTTTCAATAGGCGAAAGACAATAAAAACGCGGCGAAAATTATTACGAGCCTAAATATATTGAGTTTAAATAGACTCATCTAGGACTTAGAGGCATATATAACGGCCTAAGTTAGGTTAAGTTAGGCCACGCGCCACACTTAGGAGTTATTTGTGTGGTTCAATAAAAAAGCAAATGGCATTGTTAGCAAAACTAGCCTAGAGAAGTAACGGCAACTAAGAAGAAACTGCTGAGAAGATAGTAAATCGTCATCTTCGCAACAGCTGCGGTAAAAGGTTACTACTAGACAGTGCTCTGTAAGATCTCCTATCAGCACTAAGAGTTGGCGCTTGACCAGCTTGTGAAACTCTTTTGACCGCGTGAAATTTATGCTCAGGAATACCTTACATGTTAGGATAAATGACCTCGAGGGTAACCATCAATCGTGATAATCAGCCTTGCAGTGGTTTGTCGCTGAGCATTGGGGCCTAAATTAACTCAGTTTGGAAGTATTGCGAGGCGACCGAGAGAGGTCCGCCGTTCTAGTTTCGGTCGTAGCAGAAGGCGATTGTCTGTCAGAGTAGATATTAACTCTCCGAAACGGTATTATGCTTATACGTAGCATGTGGTCTGTATCCGGAAATTTTAACTTGAGGGCAACAGAGAGTTGCTGACTCTGCTACTACTACTATATGGAATACTTGTATGGCGGCCGGCAACTCAAAAGGCAAGTTACCTAAAACCATTGAGTAAGGTCCAAAGAACTGCTTTTCTATGCATCTCTGGCGCTTTAAGGACTACCCCAAACGAAGCGATAGAAGCGATAACAAATCTGCCTGCTGTAAAACTCGAAGGAAAACACGTGGCCGCCGCTTCGGCGCTCAGACGTAAAAGTATGGAAGCAACAGCGTGTTGGCCGCGCTAATATACTTCAAACACTGGATAATTATGATCAGGAAATTGACTACTCCGCCCCTGAACCAACCTCTGGCACGCTCTTCAAGAGAAAATTCCGTCAAGAAGAGAGTGAAAAACACCAAGGCCATGGATATAACCTAGCTAGACAATAGGGTTGATTAGGGAGTTTTCTTTGAAGAATTAGGATTCGAATTATCCGTACGAATTCGGGACAGTAACGAATACAACGGTCAGTATTTTATCGGATGGCCAGGCGGCCATTAAATCAGTGAATGCTAAAATCAAAGGTTGCACAGTAATACGTGACAGCCCTAAATGACATTAGTACCGTATTCAAGGTCAGTCCCATTTGGGTGCCGGAGCATAGAAATATTTCACGAAATTGCAGAGCCGATGAGCTGACCAAGAAAGAGCCCAACCTCCAGCCTCCCAAGATAGGGCATTTCGAAGCTCATGGAAGAAGTTGTAGAAGTTCCCGAGCTGAGGAAGAAGAAGTCACAGCCGAACATTTCTTCTGCAGTTGATCAGCTTTAGCAAAGAGCAGGGCAGGCTTTTTAGGTAAACACTATTTTAGTTCTCTCATGGAACTGTCCGGTGTAGGAATAAAATCAATCCTAAGCTTCATAAGAGCTTCAAAATGGTTCTATGAAACATAGTCAATGAGGTTTCTGTGTTTCACAGTGGTATTAAAATGGACCGACAGGGTCTAAGTGAGTTGGTATTTTTGGTTGACTGCCACATTAACGTAAGACCCCTTTTAGAAACTTTAAGTCTTGCTTTCAAGTCTGCTCAATTCGTATATTCGTCTCACCTCCTTCGCCTACGAACTTTATGATTAACTCCTTACAAAAGGATTCATTCTGAGCCCACATTGTTACGCACTGATCTGTTTATTCCAAAGATACGCTTGAAAGAACTAGCTACATCTACTCCTCCGCGTGTTCGCGAAGCAGCCTGTGGCGGTCTTATTAGCCTGAAGTGTCTATGAGTCCAACCCAGAGCATAAATTTTAATAGAATAAGTCCAGAGTGTCACACTAATTCCCACAAGGGTAGCACTTTTTCATGCACTTCATCTTGGTTTCCATGATAGCTTTCAATCCAGGATCCCGCCCAAGTACGTTACCCTCGCAGCAAGCATTAGTATAACAGTATCAATAGAGTGAAGCTGGTCTTATGAGAATTTATAGAATGTTCGCAACTATCAAACCCGTTTGTGACTGGTCAGAGTGTCTAGAAAATTTTCTCTGAAGATGAGTTTTACGGTCACAGCCATCTCTTTCACAGGAAGAGTGAGAGTACACCCACATGAGGCCTACCATTTCCAACCTTTAGCCGAGCGGAGGCGCTGTACAAACCCGCTATGGCCAACCAAGTCGATTTCAACTCCGATCTTATAGAGAGTTATGCTTGGGCTCTATCAAACCCACGTCGGTGCTGGTTAAGAATGTAAAACTGAATGTAAAGAAGCTATTCCTCTTATTTCCCCCATTAAATTCAAACCGGATCTATTTCATTATGCACAAAAGAGTAGTGAAGAGTAGCCATTTCAACGCTGATAAAGTCAATCTTCCGAGGGGTAAAAGTCGAGCTGCCGTTAGAGCTGTCACTATCAACTCAAAGCGCTTAACTTTCGTCGATCCCTCAAGGAGATTGCTTACTTTTCTATAACCGGAGCGGACAGTTTCGGAGGAAGTTTCGTCACTTTGGGTCGCTGTTCTTTGAGGACCTGCATATGTGAGGTGGTGCCAGGGACCGTACATATTTCAGCAATTGTGTTATAAAGAGTGGTATCACGGGAAATTTTCCGCTTTATCCCTAAGTGTGCCGCTGCCTGTCAGTGACAGTTGCAAAAAGAAGCTCATAGCAAATTTAGGGAACAATTTAATGTAATTGATCATTATTGATGAGCTAGCAAAACTAATCCTTTACTTGAATGGATTTACGTTTACTTAATACGCGTCTAACAAATACTTCTTTTTAAAAATAAATCTGTTCACGCGAAAGGATCCGCCTCTTTAGTTAATTTTTTTTCAATTTTTAATGCTAAAATTTGGCACTTTTTCATTACTTCACAGCTTGTTAGCCACAAATTATTACATTTGCTGATATTTTCTCCATTTTTTTTTGCTCCCGCTTTATTTATATGATAATTTCTTGTATATGTATGTGTGTGTGTGTTTGTTTGAGGAGTGCATTTGTCAGCCGAGCGCATTGAGGGCATGCATCATTATGCGCGACTGGTCGCCAACCCAATCCAATCAAGCGCCGTCAGCAATTTGGATTGCCTCGCCTCGTTCATACTATCCTATAAACGCACAACGAAACAATGTGGTGATTTTAGGGACAAAAAAATAAAAAATAAATAAATACTCGTAAGACTGCAGCTTGTGCGCTGAGCCGTAAAATAACTATGTATGCTGCCAATGGCCAAGGCAGTGATTTTTGCGAGTGAGCACTGCAACTTAATTCTCAGCTGCCACCCACTGCGGTCATCAGGATACTCCACTCCACTCCACTCCCCTGCACAAATACATACATACACAGCTTTTGTTTAATTTTGTATTGCTTTATTTTGTCTTTTATGTTGCCCGCCAGCCTTGACAAATATTTATGATAAATTGCCTTTTGCGTTGTGCACTCGAGCGCTTCCCCAAACCGACCGACCGAGCGAGCGCTGTTTGGTCTCATTTGCTTGCCTGGCGGGTGTCCTTTCATGTAAGTATGTGGCCGCTGCATAAAATGCATACGTAAATGCAAAATGTAAACAGTTTCTATTATTCCTTGTCGCTTTCTTTGGCTTTCATGCCCCTTTTCCGCATTCGTTTCCATCACTACGCTTCTTTGTGATGCTTTGTTTGTTTTGTTGTCTTTTATACTCCGTTGTTTGTTTGTGTACAGTCCTTGTGAGGCTCACTCTATTTTGCATACGTGCTGAGTGTGTGTCTATTGAGCTGTGCTTTTGGCCATCTAACATATGCAAAATGCGCAAATTTCGTATATTTTCTTGGCAAATGG